TAGATAGATAGATAGATAGATAGATAGATAGATAGATAGATAGATAGATAGATAGATAGATAGATAGATAGATAGATAGATAGATAGATATTAGAAAGTTATTTACAACATAAGGCATGATTTTCAAACGTACAAACACTGCCACATAGGTAATGACGTTACTGATTTAGTGGTTGATAAAATCACGAGTTTATTTCAAGGGCATGAACAGCATCCTCATGAATTATTATCCGTCAAATGTGCTCAATATAATGAGTTTCTCCATCACAGAGAGAAAAGGAGGAGGAAAGAGACCCTCCTGAGATTTGGGCAGTAAGTGACAGAGAGAGGAAGAGACAGAAGACAGGTGGAGAGGGAGAGCTATCAAAAGAGGGCAATAAAAAGAAGCAGGGGGTCCAGTGAAATATTAGACAGAGTATTTCAGATTTGCTGGAGATATAATAGAGATCAAATCTGTGGATGAATTGCAGATCTCATTCATAGCCAATTTCTTCAAGTTTGGTCTTGAGAGGATCTTGGATTTTTATTTTTTATTTTTTTGCAAACACATCCACACCTGAACAAAAATGCAACACATGTGGCTCTCTCTTCTATCTGGCCTCTGCCTTAACCTGGTTTTCCTTTGCAGTGCCGAGGAAGGTCTAGAGTTCCCCAATTTTGACGGGAAAGACAGGGTGATGGACATCAATGAGCGCAACTACAAAAAGGCTCTGAAGAGATATGACCTGCTGTGCCTGTTCTACCACGAACCTCTGCCGGCCAACAAGGGTCTTCAGAAGAGGTTCCAGATGACAGAGCTGGTGCTGGAGGTGAGAAACTGGTTGAGGTTGGGTATGTGTCACAGACTGCAGGGCAAGTGGCTCGGTGATGATATTCATTGTGTGTTATAAAATGGAGTTAACTGTGAAAGGAAAGTGAGAAATGTGGAAGTATAATGATGTAATCTACTTTTTTATAGAGTTTTTTTTTCACGTTTTGATAAGCATTAAACAGAAAGGCTAACTCATGTGGTTCAGGCGTTAATGCTCCATAAAGAATTCTTTCTAATGATGAATTATAACACAAAGTGCCTTCTCTGCTTGAAAAATTAGATTTGGGAGAAGCAGTTATTAGGATTGCTGATTCGTTTTGTGTTTATTGACCAGTTGATCAACAGTTGCTTTGTGGTAAAAAATCACATTTCCAGAAGCCTTAGCAGTACTTAGCATTCTAACATACTAAACATATTGCCTATGAGGATGATGGTATTCGTATTTAGGCCAAAGACCAATATAGAGCCTCACACATTAGCTCTGTAGCTTTAGACCACATTGGATAGGCAAAAAAATATATCCCAAGGTGAATGTTAATCCCTGTTAACCCTATTCCTGACTCTAAGGGGGTCACTAGCGATCTGCTGGATGTTACTATCATGAAGCTTCATAAACAATGAACTGGTTTTGAAAACTCTTTGCAAAATTCATTGATCCTGAGTTTTTCAGGTTTGCAAATACCTGGAAGCTATGGGAAATGTATCACCACTGATCAAAGAAGACATGAGGAAATGAGAGATGGATCTGTTGTGGCATACCGGATGCTGAGCTATAGCTCAAATCCCTGCAGATTACATTCTGCCATGCAAAGTAGTCACTGATACTTTCCGTTCTAGAAATCAGACAGCGACTGCCCCATGTTTCCTCTGTCTTCTTGAAGTATAGACTCTCTCCTTAGACTGGATCTATGTTTTACCTGTGCACACTCTTAACTGGCAAGCAGTCCTTTTAATCCCATTTTGTGCTCTCCGCTGTGGTTTACATATATCCAGGGATTGTTTCTAGGTCATTTTGTTAATTATAGCTTGTTCCCAATTCTCTTTACTATCTTCCTTTGAACTAGAAATCAGAAGATTTGCTCTCACACTCCTTTCCTTCTCATATTGGAGGCATTTTTTATTTGTTAGTATTCACCTTTGGCAACATTTTCAGTTTCACATTTCTGTCATGTTTCGTGCACTCTTGGAAAGCAGAAATACACAAAGTAAACCCCCTCCTCAGTGGTTTTCTAAATCTGTTATCCTTCCTCAACAACTGCAAGCTGAAAGGCAAGCAGTCCTGACTCACAGCTTCCTCCTAACAAGAAAACTCCACAGGGGGCTCTCAGTACACAGACATCTTGGTAATGAAAAGATGTATTGACGAAGACGGCTGCAGCTGTGGATGTCGGCTCAAGTACACAGCATAGAAGTCAGAGCTAAATCAAAGCGCTGAGCAGAGGGTGTTCACACCAGTGTTTCTTATCTCAAGGTTTACTTACCAGGTGGTTTTAGTCCACACATGTCCACACTGTACAGTTTTATTTAAAAGTCAAATAAAAAGTCACCAACTATTATTTAATTTACCAGCTATGCTCTTGCGTCTTGCTCCCAGTTGCCAACACTGGTGTTTTACTGCACCTATTTCAGTGTCGAAGCCCCTAAACTGGCCAAAAGCCTCCCACCAAGAGCTGAGAGGAAGTACTCTCTGGCTACAACAATATCCTGAAGGTCACTATGAAACTTGACCCAGATTTGTACTTAATATTGACCTAAACCATAATCTTTTCCTAACCTAAACAACAAGGTTTAAATCCCAATCTGCTGCTGTTAGTATGGCTGAGGGTGTCACATGTGTTTGTTTGTATATGCATAACTCCTTACCAATCACGATGGTGACCTCTGCGATTTTAGAAAAGAGACAACATTTAGAACACGATGAAGAGATTTCAGAACATGAGGTATTTTGCCGTTACTGGATAGGACAGTGCAGAAAGTAGACAGGAAGCTGGAGAGAAAGTGAGGGGGATGACATACAGGAAACCGTCTGGGACAGACGAGTAGGCCGGGGTTTGACGAGCTGCTCAACCAGGTGAGCTATAGCAGCACTCTCAAGTCAGAATGTGGCAGGTGAGTTTGAAGATGAGGATGAGACAATCAGCTTCAAAACAATGGTCCATCCTGTATGACTGCCAACTTGGTGCAACAAGGCCCGACACAAAGAGTGAACATTAAATCTCATTTTTAACGTTTCATCCTAGATGCCATTCAGAAAATCATCCTGATTAGGTGATGTTCCTGATCTAGGTTTTTTTTAAAGTGTGTTTTATAGAGTATTTTAATAGAATCACAATACTGAATGAGTTGTTGTTCTTGAACACAGCTTACAGCTCAAGTCCTGGAGAACAAAGACATCGGTTTTGGAATGGTGGACTCCCAGAAGGATGTCAAAGTGGCCAAGAAACTGGGTATGTACTGCATCTGTGTTCCTCTTGGCTTATCCACTCCTATGGGTTTCTTATATCATTTTACTAGTAATGTATTGTTTTGAAAGTGTTGGATCTGTTGTCTAAATAGGATTGGAGGAGGTGGGCAGCTTGTATGTGTTCAAGGACGACCGTGTGATTGAGTTTGACGGGGAGCTCTCAGCAGACACTCTGGTGGAGTTCCTGTTGGATGTGAGTAGTAAAATCTGATGCTTTTCAGACGGCAGTTACATTACCCACAAAAACAATCAATCTTAGCCTCGTTAATTAGTTGAATCCCTAACATATCACAACTGCAACATCAATAAGCTCTTCAACAACACACACATTTTAGTAACCGTCATGTGTACCTCATATAAAAAAATGCACTGTAAACTAAGTTATCGGAAAAGTTAAGGCAGTGACACAACTGCTACAGGTCCCTTTTGATTAGAGTTAAATCTCATATACTTTTGATGATCTATCTGATTTTTCATTCACATTTCCCACAGGCTAAGATAAATTACCATAATATTAAAAGTAATGAGTTAAAATAAAACTCCCTTTTACTCAACATTGTTGGAGTTCTTTTTGTAAACATAAGAAGGTTCTGCCTTACTTTTGTTGTGCAAAAGTTTAGTGGAGACAGATTAAAGTTTGCAGAACTCACTAAGAAGCCTGTGCCATCTACTCAGGCTAAGCAATAGCTTAACAAGCCCCTTCACTCATGGCATCACAGCTTCTATCTATCTAATATGGATCAAATATCTATTACGCACAACTAGAGCTTTTTCTTCTAATATCATAACATCCACTCAGTAAGCTGTATTATTAAAAGACAAGTGCGAGCTAGAGCTGACTAATAGATTTCCTTTGGTTTTTGCTTTTACTGCTCTTCCTGCAGGCCTTTCTTTACTCTCTTTATTACTGCATGTGCAATATTCTCTACATTAATTCAGTCCTATTGACTATCAGCACATGCACACATTCACATTTAAACAATGCAACTGACGACAGAGAAATGTTACCTTTAAGAGGTGATTACTACCTCAAAATAGTGCAATTTGTTAAAAAACAAGAACTCCAATTTAAAAATATGAAAACTATTTTTAATTAATTTGAGCATTTGGGTTTACACGGCATATTGCACAAGATATGTATTTTAAAAGAACAGTGAATAGGGCCTTAATTGGGCCCCTGCTTCCTGATACATTTACTTCATTTTTATCTAAACTACACACTTTAAAGTTTTTAGGACTGCATCATGCACAAGTTCAGCATTATTGCTTTGCATTGATTATTGACTGACATGTATATACCTTCCAAGGTAGGTTTAGCGCAACAGTTACTTTTAGGTAACAGTACCCTGTATTTCAACTGTTAGGTGGATTATATTACCATAGCATGAGCCAAGCTAGCTGTTTGCTATCTTCAGTGCTAATGCTAAGCTAATCAAAGCTGCATGTAATTATGAGTCCACATTAAACAAAAGTGCATGAGACTGGAACTGATCCAACTATACCAAACTGATTAAGTTACTTAAATAATGACTAACATGTTTTCCTTCTGTGTTATACTGCTCCTTAGGTGTTGGAGGACCCAGTAGAGATGATCAATAATGCCATGGAGGTGCGAGCCTTTGAGAGGATGGAGGAAGACATCCGCCTCATTGGTTATTTCAAAGGAGAAGATTCATGTTAGTTTAGCATCAAACTCATATTTCAATATAATAATAACAACAATAATAATAATGGATTGTATTTATATAGCACTTTTCGAGACCCTGGAAGCGCTTTACAATTCTACTATTCATACACTCTCTTTCAGTGTACCATAAAGTTGTTTTATTGTGCTTCAGACATGTTAATGGACTATAGACGTTGATGGAGATATATTTCATATAGCCTTACTGGCTGCTAAATGAAAACCTGATTCTAGACTTTGCTAGTCTCACTCAGTCTCATGACAGCCTTTAAATAGCTTCTGGCTCCTCGTCTAATAGGTCAAACTGCAATTATAGTTCTTCTCACAAAAAAAGGAGAAAAAGTGAGGCAGGGAAGATACTATCTGGCCAATACGACGGTGGCACAAATTTTCATTATGAAGCCTATTTCTGTCCAGATATAGGTCGGTCCCTGGCGGTGACCTTGTTGGGAAGAGAACTAGGATCGTGTTACAAGTTTATAAAACTGTATTAAGGGAAAGTTGGTTACTGGGATGAAGATACCAGAATCTGATGAGAAATTGAATGAAGACACTGCCTTTCACTTCTTGCCTTTCTCATCACACCATCACTATAGAATGTCACTGCTGAACTTCAGCTTTTGTTCTTGTCAATCTCTCTCAAATTTATTTCCAGCTCTCATTTTTGTTTTTGTTTTTTAGATTTCAAGGCTTTCCAGGAAGCCTCAGAGCGGTTTCAGCCTTACATCAAGTTTTTTGCTACATTTGATAAATCTGTAAGTCTTAACAGAAAATATACTACACTGTACTTTGCTTTACAGTAACATGCACCATAATTACTTAAAACACACTAACCATAATAAATTAGAATATTGACTTAATTAAATGCAACTTAATTTCTGTGTTCAAATAACAAGTAGCTTGTTAGCTTACTTTTGCAAAAAGCTAGCATGGCTATATTCAAATGCATCAAAGTCTAGCTGCTAGCAGCTCTGAAATTCACTATTTAGCGCACTACATAGCATGTCACCTGTTGTTTAAAGTATGTAAATTAATGTTAGTGTTTGTTTTTTGTTAAATCTGGTCTCTTAGGCTAGCTGTTTCCAATCTTTATCTTCACATCGCTCCTCAAATATACGTTTCCGAAAAAGACTGGAGATAGCTAATTTAGTTGAAACTCTTGATTAATGAGCTTCACTTCAAACATTAAAAAAAAAACATGAAAACCATCCCTAAAACATTGAAGTGACATCTTGGCATTTAACTTTTTTTTAAGGTAGCCAAACATCTTTCCCTAAAGATGAATGAAGTTAATTTCTATGAGCCATTCATGGAGGAGCCGGCCATCGTGCCTGGAAGACCTCTATCCGAGATAGACATTGTTGAATATGTAACCCAGCACAGAAGGTTAATGTTATTTTTTTTTTCAAGTTTTATTAAAAAAACTTAAAATTTCAAGCATTTCTTTGTGTGAGATTTAATACAAATGTGCTTCTTACAGAGCTACTTTGAGGAAGCTCCGGGCTGAGAATATGTTTGAGACATGGGTGATTGTTTGGTCTTATTAGAGCAGATGAAAGCAGAAATTACATAGTATACAAGCACTTTCTTTAAATGTATTGAAGCCAACGTTGAATTCGAGGTACTAATTACTCTAAATCTTTAAATTCTTCCCATCTGTAGGAAGATGATATGGATGGAATACATATTGTTGCCTTTGCTGAGGAAGAAGATCCAGGTGTGCAGCTGTAATTCAGAGCTTTTTATTGTTTAACATTACACTTATTTATCTTGATTAGAAACTGGAGTTGAGTTCAGATAACTTTGTTGTCTCTTCCTTAGATGGCTATGAGTTCCTAGAAATCCTGAAAGATGTGGCCAGAGACAATACCAACAACCCAGAGCTGAGTATTGTCTGGATCGACCCTGATGACTTCCCTCTGGTTCCGTCTTCCTGTTTAACCAAATAGTTTTTAAAATGATCCCTTATAAACAATTTCTACACAGGAAAATTCTACCATTGTTTAAATGCAGAAAATGTCTGAAGTTAGCTTGGTTTATCTTGTCCTGACAGTTGACCACTTATTGGGAAAAAACCTTTAAGTTGGACCTGTTTAGACCTCAGATTGGTGTGGTCAATGTGACAGATGTAAGTAAAATATCAAACTCTAAGAAAACACCAAAATAAAGACTTTAAAGACATTAAATGTTGTGGTTCTCTGTTTTCCAGGCAGATAGTGTCTGGCTGGACATGTCCAATGATGAGGACCTGCCCACTGCAGAGGAGCTGGAGGACTGGATAGAGGATGTCCTGTCAGGGAGGGTGAACACGGAGGACGACGATGAGTCCGCTGATGAGCCCGAAAACCCTGACAGCTACATCACGGAAGACAGCGATGAAATTCATGACCTAGATGAAGGAGATAATGACGATAACTACAACTGACCCTCAAAGCTTTATATCCGTGCAGATCAGACCTGAACTAGCTTGGAACATCAGAATATGAGATTGTAGATGAATTCAGATGTCTCTCTTTTTTCCTAATGACTTTAAAAATGCTAAATTAAACAAATTCTAAAACATAGATGGTGTAGATGTTAGATGTTTTTGACTATGGTTGTAAAACCAAAGTAACAAATTAAGAGATGCTAAGACATCCCATGAAGCTGACAGGAATTATTCAGTGCGGTGATACATTTTTGTGTGTTTCTGACTCATGACACGTAGTGATTTGACCCGCATTTTTAAAATACAACAACAACAAAAAATTATTTTTAGCAACTTTAAGGTTTACGTGACCAAGATAGCAATGGCAACTTCTGAGTGTATGCATGTCTGTGAAAATAAATGTCAACCATTAAAGCTCAAACTGTTTCTTGTGACTCAATGTGTTAATATTATTTTATAAATATAAGATTTGCCTCAAACATGCAAACACATGCATATCCTTCAAACTTGTGTCCTCTACCAGAGGCCTGGGAGCTTGAGGGTCCTGGTTTGGTCCAGCTGGTTAGCCATCATTAGTTTGTCTGTACAGTATCTGGAAGTCTCACAGGACGCAGTCATTCTTAACCACCCTAGGGGGCGTCTCCCATTTTTACAGATGTTTCTGTATACTATGCTAACCACTTGGTTGCCTGTTAGCATCTTCCACCCTTCTGTATCCTGTCTGAGCTGGATCTTCACACAATGTGCACCTGGGTCTTGGTGTAGTAAACCCCAGCCTCTATCGATCTTGTGCTTAGAACTTGTTCCTGTGCTGACATGATTATTGCCTCTGTGCTGTTTTTCAGTCCCACTTTGTCCAGACATTGGTACATTTTTTGATATCAGCCATTTCTTCTCTCTGCTGGTGGTTTATGTCCTGCAAGGGCCCATCCTTCCATGATGCTTCTTCTCCTTGCTTCTCTTCTTTTTTGGCTTTCTGTTGCTTGATGTATTCACTAAGCCCATGACCAGCTGTGACCATCTTCCTGATGTACTCATGGATCTTTGTGTGGTTCTGACACTTCTTCCTTCTGCTTAGCCTACAGTCTTAGAATGTTGGACTTGGGATGAAACCCTTCATGCGTGTCCTGTCCTGATGTCAGTGGCTTCTATTTCCTCCTTTGGGCTAGTTATTATCCCAGCAGGGCATAAGTGTTAATTGCCTGGATCTTGTTATTCCCATTCAGCTGACTTCACTTACTCTCTGAAGGCATATATATATATATATATATATATATATATATATATATACATATATACATATACATACATACATATACACATACACACACACACACATGACATATAGTGATATACACGGTGCATCAAAAAAAAAAAAAGTGAACCCTGTGAGTATCTTCATTCCCTTCTCACCCTCATTAAGGAAGTCCTTACTTATTCCCAGGACAGATCAGATTGGCACATTTTCTCAGCCAGTAAATGGGTGTTTCACCTTGAATTATTCAAACACTGGTAAATAATTAAGTATTGTTATGCCTCCTAATGTGAGTAGGGACCTGGACGCTGGAAACTGGGGGAGGTCGGAGGTGAAAGAATCAGGGTGAGACAGGCTCAAACGCGGCACTCTGGGGTCCGACGAGCTGCATGACGATTGGACAGAGTCCTGATGAAACTGTAAGTCTAGGCATGAATTAATAATACAAGGCCGTGCAAGACTCGTTATTCCCCTGGAGGAGGATGTGATGTAGTGTGTCAACAGGATGTTTGTATCATGATGGGGGATTTGCAGTTAATCTATGCCAGGTGATGAGAAACATTCAAGTGTGTGCACATTTAAAACATGACCCTGGGGCAACTAGACATGTCATACTCTCTCGTGATGAGAAACAGCTAGTCATGGTACTGGTGTAAGTGTTGGATGCTGTGCGAGTGCTTTATGGTGACAAAGTCGCTGTGAATATCAGATGTGATGGGGTTTTACATGAAGACTGACCAAATGAAGGACAAGATCGATTTCTCTCCTTTCTCCCAGGAGAGGAGGAATTACAAAATCACACTGACTAAGGTTCAATAAAAACAGCAAAGAACAAAGAAAAGACCGGAGTAAGATGAATTAAGGTGCAGATTTCTGTTCAAAATCAACGCTACAAGAAGTAAGAGGGGATTTACTCTCATGTCTCCATCTACACATAACCAAGCCATTACACAAAAGTGAGAGCGAGAGAAATGAAGGGAAGAAAACATTCCATTTAGATGCAAATGCTCCTCATTTTCCTCTCTACCAATGTCTCTTCCTTCTCACCCAGGTTCTGCAATGGAGCAGGTGGGTACGGGAGGGGGATTAAGCCAAGGACAGATGAGTTCCGACAGGCGGCCTTGCACCCGGGGCTCACGGAGGGATGAGGTTGTTCGTTTTCAGCACTGGACAGCGACATTGACATTCATTTACCCACAAGGGCCGGCTGCGCCGCTCTGACAGGCTGACGGCAAGCCAATTACCGCTGAGCTCCATAACAACAAAAAGCCACCAAAATATGGCCAAAAAAGATGATATTTTGCTCAGGCGTGTCACTAAGCACGACCGGCCGCTTAATTTGCAACGACAGAATAGAGTGTTAGCGAGCATACAGCCAGGGCAGCGAACGAGTGCATATGAAGATAGCGATGATGTGAACAGAAGACTTGTTAGTTTGTGAGAAATGGAGATAAGAAAGGAAAAAAGACTACAACTGGGAACATTTAAAAATGGATCGCCACGGTGTAGAGTTGGACAGCAGGCTGTGATGTGTTTGCTGGAAAAATCTAACAAAAAAAAAAGTTAGAGTGAGTGTGAACTGTGATGGCGTAATCCTGGGTTACCTCGACACGTCACAAACACTTAAGGTAATCCTGGAAGTAAAAAGAGCAGCCCAGTACTCAGCAGCTTTACAAATGTTCATAAAAATGATTTATTTTTTTCTACAAACGCTAACGCTGTGAGACCGAAACACATCTTACATTGCAACGTCACGTTCATTATCAGAAAACCGCCCATCAGAAACCAATCCATGACAGAGGACTGTAACTTGGCAACAGTGTGACAGATGGTGGAGGAGGGGGTCGGGTTGGGGCTGGTTGTGTGAATTGGAATGGCACACACACAAACACACACACGCTTACATAAATAGATACAGTTTAAAAACAGGAGGCACCATCACATCAGGATCATACAAAGTTTAGTTAGTTGGTACAAAATCTGACCAATGACACGTGTTTAAAATTTAAAAAAGAAAAAAGAAAAAAGATTTGCTGTGGACGTGTCACACAGAAAACAGCACGTATCTGACTTTTTTGCAGGTGTTTTAACATTTTGTTTACAGTGAAATAATTATAGTATAAAATTACCAGTAGTTTTTTTTCTTTTTGTCTGAAAACATGCAGTGACAATGCTGTGTTGCATCACCAGGGGGCAGTAGGGGACAACCTTGCTCTCAGGCAAAGCTATACTGCTTGCATGTCTTCTTGAGCGTGCTCAGTGCGACTCTTCTTTTTTTCCCCCTCTCTTTGGTGATTTTACCAGATCAGTATTATCAGTTTCGACAGTAACAGAGGAACAGACACGTGTCATTTTAACTTCATTTAACTGTATTTTTCTGGCCTGCCGGTGTAAACCCATTCAGCAGGCGCGAGAATCCCTTCTGAGCCTTCCATGAAAGGACTGACCTCGAGGGAATTGTCAGACAACAGGGGTGAGACGAGGCAGTAAAGGAAAACCAGACAGTCCAGTTGGGAAGGAGGTTCCGCCCTGCTGCCGCAGCTCTCACTGCTGATAAAGACTCTGGTGATTTATCATCATACATAATGAAACCCTGTGAGCCCTGAAAGATGAAATCAGACTTTACATGTTGCTGTTTGTTTAAGCCATTTGTTTAGTTGCTCATCTTGCAAATTAAGCATTAATGTCTGTTTTCACTTCACTACAGAGGAAGAAAATTTAACATTTTCTCTTGAATTTTCAAATTAAAAGCATTGCAGCAGGGGTAAGTTAAAGATAAAAGGTGCATACTTGCACCACGTGTGCATACATATGTCAAAACCCAAACAAAACAAAGGAAACGTGGAGTGTTTGCAGACAGTAGTTTAGAAAAAGGAGGGTCAGTGCTGTGAAAATGGACACAATGGTAACTTAACGCCCACCTCACGCCAGGTGGGAGAGGTGTTACCTGTAACTTCAACCATTATTTGAAAACTGAGGTCTAAAGGAGAATGTACACACAATGAATACATCTGCTTTGTAACCCAAAGTCTGGAGAAATCAGTAGTACTTTTTAATTCCAACATGATGGCTGCGTCTCTCTTTCCCTTCCATCACGTCAGGCAGATGTGGGCGACATGAAAGCCCTGAGAAGGTTACTGAACCGCTGAGGCAGGGCAAATGTTTTTGGGCACGTGTCCATCTCAGTGCGTCTCCTATTATCCGGTTCATGCCAAGTTCACCCTGGTGTTCAAACACGGCACGCTTGCGTCGCTCCTGACTGGAGTGGAAATGTTTCAGATTTGTGCTCCGTTGCACCTGGAGAGGAACTGAAAACAACTCAAAGAGTCCCGACTTTGGTTGCTAAAATTAGCGCTCAAGGGCGTGGGCCGCACGCCACAGGATGGACATAGTGGAGTGTGACGTCTCAGCTGTCAGGAAAAAGTGTTGAGGAGACCGTGCCTCTTCCTTTATGTGCAGACTGAGATCATTCCCACCGTCATGTGAATGTGCATTTAATGCTGAAACTGAAGTTGTTTCATTCTTGTATATATAAGTCCATTTACTTTTTTTGGTGTCCAAAAATATTCAAATACTTCCAAGTGTACACAAAACAACAAAACAACACACTTTCCTCCTGTTGCTCTGTCCGTCTCATGGAAATCCAACACAAGAACTGCTCTCTGTGGAGATGTCAACCTTTAAATGCTCCTTGTTCCCATCTTGTTTGAAGGAGTGATTGTTTTGACACAAAATTACATCACACACACACACACACACACACACACACACACACACACACACACACACACACACACACA